TCTTCCTCCGGATGTTCTTTTTCTCAGGCTTGCAAGCAAACGAGGAATTCCATTTGTGGGATTGCACCAGCATTAGAACACTGAGTAAATTAGATAGCCTTAGGGCAAGAAACTTTAGCATCAGCATCTTGTACATGTGCAAGTAGAACAGGATGTTGAAAGGTTCTCGTCCCTAATCACTTCCCAACGTCAGTATTTCAATGAACCAAGCATAAAGAATATTGGTTTTACGAATTTGACGGGCTTAGAAGATTTCACCATCCCATAGCTCGTTCTGCTCGCCAGAAGGTCGCGAGTAGGTGAAACTTACGTAGCTTCATTGAGGATTGAGGGTAAAGCGTTTTTTTTCCTTCTGTCTGGATAGTCCAGATATTGAGCACAGTCATTTAGTACTTAGGTGTTTGCCTTTTAACAAAATTTTCTTTTTTGTAGTATATATATATATATATATATATATATATATATGTGTGTGTGTGTGTGTGTGTGTGTGTGTGTGTGTGTGTGTGTGTGTGAATTTAGGCAGCAAATTCTCTCTTAGGCATGTCTGATTGAATAAATTACAAACATTATGTCTGCTAATTTTTAACAAAATACGTGTATACTCACGAATCCGTGTATTAATGTTAAAGAATAAGAGAAATGTGTTATAGCTGTTTAAATTACATTTATTTTCATTTCCCAAGTACTTTCGATCTTTTTCCAAGATCATCTTCAGGGGTGCAACTAATACAAAACTATATGTTGTTCATTAATATAAGTATTTATACAAAGTTGTGCGTTGTTATCCATTACCGCAATGTTTTTCCATATGCTTTTAAATGCAAAACGGTTGACAATGTGCTAAGTGTTCATTAGAACGTGAAAGATATTATCCATTATGGATATTATCATTATATATATATATATATATATATATATATATATATATATATATATATATATATAGTGAACTGGATTAAGTCCGACAATTATTTAAAATATTTTCTGTTTATACGTTATTTTTTATAGATACAATTTAATTTAGTAAATGCTGTTTTTAAATAAACAGTATTAATTACATTTACCAACCTGAATGTCCGAGAAATTTCGTAGAAAATATGTCTTCTCAAACATGAATCTGTCTGGATACGTATGAATTATGTAAATAAAGGTAATTTAAGCTTTTTGATATTAAAGACATATTTTGTACGAATACTTTTTTTGCCTGGAAATTTTTTTAGATAACATAATGTCATATATAACAAGGTTTTCTAACTGTTGTTTTTTTTTTTTTTTGCATATTGCAGCAATATGCAATGATGTAAAATTATTGCATGGATTTTCAGATTTTAATAAGTTATAAATATGTTAATAAAAAAGTTTAATGGTTTACGAATATTTATCTCTTGTCATATATATATATATATTTGAAGAAATATAATTTTAAGGTATGCTATATTTATGGGATAAAGTGCTCAATATCAGAGATAGAGCGTATTTAAATATAAAAGTGAACATTGAAAAGTTAACACCCAGAGGCGACACACTTTTTTATGCTAAACGCAATAACCAGACCATCTGATGATTGCGTTTAGCATGAAACGGCCTGTTGCCTTTGAGTGTTGACTTCAATGTTCATTTATATATATATATATATATATATATATATATATATATATATATATATATATATATATATATAAGGTTTTCCCATAAGTTCTGTCCGAATTTTACCTTTTTTTAAAATGAATGAAATTTAAAAGAGTATTTTATGTCTACTGGAGCTGAACATTATTTTTATGTTTAAATGCATTTAAACTGATCAAAGTTTATTTCAGAGAACAATAAAATTAAATTTTGTTTGATTAAAACCCTGCTCACTCAGTTTATGGAGAGGAATGTGTGAATGAAAGAAATTGCAGAAGATGGTTTGCAAAATTCAGAGGTGGAGATTTCACCCTTGATGATGAAGATCGAACTGGACGTCCAGTTGAGTTTGATGAAAAGCTTCTTGAAGCAGCCCTTGAAGAAAATCCTACTTTATCAGTTGAGGAATTCGCAGTGGTTCTCAGTTCAAACCATACAACTGTTCATCGTCATCTTCAACAACTTGGAAAAGTTCCTAAACTTGGAAAATGGGTGCCTCATGAATTGTCTGAAAACAACCTCAAATCCCGAGTTGACATCTGCTCTTATCTCCATTCTCTCCAACTTGTTTCACCTTTTTTGGATAGACTTGTGACTGGCGACGAAAAATGGATCTTTTATCGAAATGTTAAGCGTCGTAGACAGTGGCTTGATAATGGGGAAGTACCCCAGCCACAGCCGAGAAGAGAACTTCATGGGCAAAAGGTTCTTCTTTCAATCTGGTGGGATCGCCAAGGAATAATCCACTTAGAATTCTTACCACCTAATGCAACAATTAATGCTCAAAATTTACTGTCCGCAATTAGAGCATTTGAACCAAGCTTTGAGGAGAAAAAGACCTGCCCTAGTGAATCGAAAAGAGGTTATGTTTCATCAGGACAATGCGCGACCCCACACAGCAAGAATCACGTCACAAAAGATCGAAGAACTTGGTTGGGAGAAAATTCCTCATCCACCTTATTCTCCCGATCTTGCTCCTTCAGACTACCATTTGTTTCGTAGCTTATAGAATCATTTGGAAGAAACAGCTTTTGTAACACAGGAAGAGGTTAAAACTGACATTTGTGAGTTCTTCGAATCAAAGCCAAAAGAATTTTACAGTAATGGAATTAGTAAGCTTGTTAATAGATGGAAGGAAGTCATAGATAATCAGGGAAAGTACATTGTTGATTGAATCTGTAATTAAATGTAACATTTGGTCACTTGTTTTCTTTATTCAAAATTCGGACAGAACCTACGGGATGACCTGATATATATATATATATATTCAAAAGCACTAAAACACAAGCTACCCTACTACCCAGGTTTCAACCGTAAGGTCTCCTCAGTTAGGCAGAATGAAAAATTTCATGGACACACCATCATAAGATACTAACACCAGACGGTAGGATGAAAGGCGGAGAGAGAGACAAAAAATTGGGGAGGGAGTAAAAAAATACGTTAATCCAGGTTTGTACTTACATAATAAATATTTGCTTAAATGTCTGCATTCGGATAATACCGCAGATCTTTCATTAAGCAGTACATCCTTGTTGGACTATATGGCAATAACTAATTTCTCTTCTTGATATAATCTGCAGCAGCTCTCACGGACTTCACCTTTTTGACAATACTCCACTTTATATACGGATTTCTGCCATTAATTTCTGTAAATCTCTAAACACAATCTTGAGCTTGGAATCATTTCTATAACTCTCAAGTCTAAAAGATGTGGTTTGGTTATAGAACCTCCTCTTAAACTCACCCTCGGTACAACCAATATATGTCTTTTTTAAAATGGCCGCCGTCTTTGGCCTCCGCTGAATAAATAACTCATTCCCTTTGACACTGACCCTCAAAAGGACAATTGTTTTTATTCCTGTACTTACATCGCTTCGTTTTCACTTCACCAACTCTTTCTGCTTGTAATAATTTAGCATTGTGACTCTTTACAATTTTTAACATGTTACCTGTACAGCTGAAACTGACTTTAACTGTACTTCTGTTAAACACCTTTGCTATATTGTAGATTTTGGGGGAAATGCTTATCTAAAAGCCTAAAAAATATTGCAAGTTGAAAGGTGGGGATTAAACCAGATCACGTTCTTTCTCCTGGTTTTATGATTGGGACGGGGCGGATGGTAAAAAAAGCCAAACCAGTATTTTAACCCTCCTCTCTTAATGCCTTTTCTTACAGCAATTTTTACACTGGCAAATCTCCTTAGTAGAAGAATTAAGAGAGATTCTACATTCCACCCTTTTAGGTATGTGTTTGATAACATTTACCGAGTTGTTAGATCTGGTGTTCACATATTTAAGGAAAGTGTTTGCTTTCAAATACGGCGAAGCGGTGTTATGGTAATATGGTGGTGCAATCCACTAAATTTTTCATTCTGCCTAGACCCGAGAAGATCTTACGGTTGAAACTTGGGTAGTTGGTTAGTTTGTGTTTTAGTGCTTTTGAATATATTCTTGTTCTACATCTCTAATTTTGGAATTTTACATTGGGCGCTTTTTTAGTGATTGCACCTTTTAAGCGCTGCTGTTTTCAGCCTCCTTTTACAATATATTATTTTATATCTTCTATATTTTATATATATAATCTTTTATATACATATATATATGTTTTTTCTTTAGATTTTGGACTTGGATGCTAGACGATTATTTTCGGCTAACGTACATGTTCTTTGTTCTTTCTTTTTTTATATATACCTTTTTTCCCCTTTGGTATTGGTTTGATTATTTGCAAATCAAGACACCGAAGGTTTTTCGGACGAATATAATTTCTTATACTTATTAAGATTATATATATATATATATATATATATATATATATATATATATATATATATATATATATATATATATATATATATATATATATATATATATATATATATATATATATAATAATAAACAATATTTCAAAGAACACCAAATCGTAAATTTACTAGCAAAAAGATTTTCATGTTGTCTTTTCCATAGATGGCAACATTGGTAACATATCATTTATTGCTATAAGTAAGGTTTCTGTGGAAATATTTTTAATCTGGGAAATCATTGCGCGGTATTTGTAAATCCGACCTTGAACCAGATAAGCTAAACTTTGTAAATATGTTCTTGCTTAATAAAATTTTTCTTTTTTTAACGAACTGCACCAACTAATTTGGGCCATTATTTTTGCAAATAAAAAAAATCTGTGTGCAAATGTGTGTTTCTATGCATACCGGTTCTGCAGCGGAAACTCGCTTTTACACGTGACTGGATCAGCTGACACGTATCCCAACATGCAATTATTCGTCGATAGCTTCGCTTTTCTCTTCACGCTGCGATGGATTAATAAAGAACATCCGGAATAACCGGATATGAACGAGAGAAAAAATTGGAGAAAACGAATGGAAGTGACTTCGTTTTTTCAATTTATTAATTATTTCTTTTCTTTTCTGTCTTTCTTTTCTTTTCTTTCTTTTCTTTTTTCTTTCTTTTCTTTTTTCTTTCTTTTCTTTTTTCTTTCTTTTCTTTTTTCTTTCTTTCTTTTTCTGTAAACGTACGAATTTATAACTAATAAAGACAAGTGACTGTAATGCCACGACTCGATTGTGTGGCATTTTCTTTTTATCCCTCGGCTCTCGTTATCTTTCTTTTCCTCGCAATCTTTCAGATTTCTTTCTTTTCATCCTTTACTTTATTGGTTTCAGTTTTCTTTCTTTACTAAATTCTCTTTTTTTTTCTTTCTCTCTTTCTTTGTTTCTTTCTCGCTTTTTTCTTTCTTTCTTTTTTTCATGCCTTCTTTTTTTTCTTTTCTATCTTTTACTGGTTTCATTTTAAATTTTCTTCTTTCTTTCTACCTTCATCATTTTTCTTTGCAATATCTTTCTCATTTCCTTTTCATTTTTCCCAGCTATTTCTTTTTCTTTCTTTCTTTCTTTCTTTCTTTCTTTCTTTCTTTCTTTCTTTCTTTTCTGTTTTCCTTTTTCCTTTGAAATTTCCTTCTTATCAACCTTTTATTTTTTCTCCAGAGTTTTTTTTTTTTTTTTTTTTTTTTTTCATTTCCTGCACAACTTTCCGGGAAGAGATGTTTCTGGTAAAAAATGTTTCATTACAAATGCATTTTTTTTCTTTAAGAAGTTTACGTGCTGGAGATAGGATTAAATATTATTTTTGTTTGGTTTGTAGTTTGTGTTTCTTTTCATTATAGACACAACTGCTAATATATCATTAAAAATGTTTCCATCCTCAGCTTCAGCAAAGTAACCAACAATCAAAACAACGCTTTGAAATTCGAAAAAATTCAAAACTGTTTTTACCCTATAGTGTAATGAAATATTCAACGTCTGCCAAATGGCTTTTCATTCTTATTTTAGAGTATATTTATACACTGTAACGAGTGACATGTTCATGAGATAATATATGTGCATGTATCGAATGTAACAGCAAACTTGTCCAAATCGTGTAACAGCATAATTGTCCATCCCACAAAATGTTTAATATCTAAGAAAGCCACAAAACTAATAGAGTTTCTTTTTGCCAGGTTTTCAGATAAGACGTTTAGCCGTCTTGACACCATTTGTCATAAGAATCACTGAAAATATCTTTGATTTATTCAGCCAGAAAGAGAAATGGATAAAAATTATTTTGGGTTAGCCCCACTGTCTTCCCAGATAAGCAATAGTGCGAAGAAAAAGACCATTCATGCCTTCAGTAATGGTACCAACATTTATACTCTGGTTTCCATCTCAAATGTTCATTCAAGAACCATCAAGAGAACGGGGAATAAGTTTTTAAACAAGGGAGCAATAGGGGGAAAACTGGATTAGGACGAGTATTTATCATTTCAACTTAGAGATCAATTAGAAATGATCCAACTCAATCCATAGGACGTTCTTACGTGGGAGAGGACTTTCAGTTGTGACAGTCCAAAGAGAAGTGAAAACGGAAAATGAAATAGTACGTAAAACCTTTGAGACACCTTGTTACTTCAACACAGAAAGTTAGAAGGTTAGAGGGCGACGTTGTAAAATGGAATAATATATATATATATATATATATATATATATATATATATATATATATATATATATCAACTTAATTTCATTCCGTCATGAGCTTCCGATCCTTAGCTATGATTAATTAATGATGAGCATATCATTTTCGTTTATGACCGATTTTATCACGATTTTCTATCAAGCTTGGAGAGTAATTATACACACACACACACACACACACACACACACACACACACACACATATATATATATATATATATATATATATATATATATATATATATATATTCCTCAAAGTAGAGTCCAATAGTGTTACAAAAACCTTGGAGACCTTGCTTTTACACGATTTGGACAATTTTGTTGTTACACCGGTAATATATATATATATATATATATATATATATATATATATATATATATATATATATATATATATATATATATGGGGGGTGTAATAAATTAATTTACTAATATTCATTAATATAAAATATTTCTTTATGCGGGATTCAAGTTTTTACTACGTCTTTATAGGAACTTACAATTTCGTGCAGGAAAGCGTTAAAATACCCTATCTTATGATATAGTTAAGTAGTTTAAAATTATTAAGCATTACTGCTACAAACTTTCAAACGATGTATTTGTGATGTTACCATCAGATTATTATGGAATAACTGATCTGTGTTTTTAAATTTTAGCCGATTTATGAACTTAATACAATATACGATTGACTGTTTAAATTTGGTAAACAGAAAATATCAATTTTCTAGCTAAGTCCTTACTCTACCCTTCATTTACAAAAACTCGTAAGGTAGTTTATTCAATGTTTTCATCTTACCTTCAATATGTCATGTGAGTGTCAAATTCTCCAAACCTACTTTCTGCATTTATCTGGAAATTTCAACCTTTCTTTGCTGATTCTAAGTACATGTGTCGATTTTAGTCCTGTTTTCCTTAAAACTTCTTTGTTGATTACATGTTCTTCTGCAGAACCCCATCTCTGCTGCCTGAAGTATTATCGTCTTCATCTGTGAGGAAATTGTCCAGCATCACTAGACGACTGAGATTCCATAGCGGTTCAGTATTCTTTCCTTTGCTTCTACTGAAATTTTCTTGTTACTTAATACCTTTTTTTTTTAACTTTTCTTTACTTCTGCCCTGATTCTTTAAATTCTTGAAAAAATACAAAGAACCTGCAATGTTATTGGTACTAACCAAGCATCTCACCTTCAGTCACTTTCTAACTGTCGTAACTCAACTTTGCCTTTTCTATAAGTATTTTCATGGAAATTATTCTGATGAGTTTCCCTCTTCGGTAAACAGACTTTAAGAGTTTAAGCGCAGTACTAGTTTGGAGGATAGGTCTCATCATTTTACAATTGAAATGGTTAGTCGTAACCTTAAGTTCTGTGTTAACAGTTTATTCTCTCGTACCTCTTCCTTGTGGAACTCTCTTCCGGCTTCTTGGTTACCAGTCAACTTTGAACTTCAGAAATGTAAATGCAATGTCAATCGTTATCTTCTCTCTTCTTAATTCCTGTTCTTTTATGGTTCTATCTCTTTATTAATTTTTTTTCTCATCTTCTTTCACACATAGTAACACTTTGCGCCTTAGTGGCTTCATTGTCTTGCTTGGGGTGAAATGATTTTTCTTTTTTTAAAAAAAAAGTCTTCTTTATATTTACCACATTTTATGGTGATAGGGTTATTAGGTCAAAATTAATTTCCAACATTTCTTTTTGAGAAAATAATTTATTCATATCACTTTATAAGACTAGTATTCAGTCATCAAGGTATTTTCCCAACGTTCTAGAACATTGCAATTCAACTATAAAATGAACATTATCATAAAATAAAAAAGTATTCCAGTTTTGATTCGATACATTTCTTGATATTTTGAACACGTCGGAAACAGTGATGGAGGGGGTGTTGCATAGAGTGAGACAACTGATAATCTAAAGGTGACAGGTGTGAAGAATATGTCATTGATTAACCTTTTCAAGAAATCGTCGCCTTCGCGGTCCAGTAAGAGTTGACAGATTCCTAAACGTTTATACACGTCAGCCTCAGTGAGTTATTTAGAGAATCGTCTTGGTCACACTTTATGAAGGTCAAGTCTGGTTTAGCTGATTTCACGCAGAGAACGATGTCTAATTTGCATATGGTTTGCCACAACATCGACAGTATTTCGTCGTTTTGTAAGGATCATAGTGTGGACTTGCTCAATGCTGTCTTCAGTCGTGAATATTAGTGAGAATCCCGCTGATTTGTCCGCTCAATGTTGAACATCGCAGTCCATCCATACACACTCCACTGACAAAAACACTATTTCAATTTTGTGCTGAAAGCGTTCAGCTCAGTGGATTTTAGGTCTAAGTGCGCTTTCATCAGATAAAAAAAAAAACGCTGTTTGCGCAAAGTTCCAGTGAATAGGCCTTGTTTAATTTATAGTAACACAAAGAGATAGTCATCTGAATTAAATGTCGAAGAACAAGTTGCTCTAATTAAATGGCTATTTGTACATCACAGTTACAACTGATAAATGTCGTTGGCTTGAAAGAATATCACGAGACGATTTCTTTGCCCGGAACAAATGCTTCTTCTACTTTAGAGTCCTACTCTAAGGAGAATCTTTTATTTCAGTTATGTTTTCTTTTAATAACGCAGTGGATGGAAAAGTTTTTTTTTTTTTCCGAGACAATTTCAATAAATAATTTCATCACATTATCTTCCTGAAATTGTCAGTACCTCATTGACTACTTTAAAAAGACATATACTTCCACCTTTACTTTACACACTGCTAGGCTTACTAAAATATCATTCCGTTTCCCACATTAAATGATATTAGAAACGCTTATTTATAACTTCATTCATAAGAATGACTGTCATATTTCTACAGATAGGAAGGTACAATAACTACTTAATAATACAAATTATAGTTTTTAAAGATGAGGTATCTGAAGAATGCGACGCATCACACCTCGGCTTCATTCTTGCTTGAGACATCGCATTTTCAATGCGTAGGTTAGTTTAATTACAAAGAAAATAGTTTTATTCTGTTCAATAAGTTTAAATAGTTGACAATCAACGAAATATAATGACAACGGTGAAATGCCGGAGGACTTTAGTAGATCAATCTTCATAAAGTTAATAAAGAAACTCCATGCGAATAAATCAGTTTGATGAGCCATATAACTAAAAATCAGTTTGATGAGCCATATAACTAAAATAAGTATTCTAATAAATAAAACTCGTAGCAGAATTATACCCAAATATGTCATGAACAGCGCATTAACAAAATGATATAAAAAGAAACAACAGAATTGACGAATGATCTATAGATATTCATAGATACCACAATAATTCATAGACATTCTTAGAGTGCACTATGATTCATAGACGTTCATATGCTGCACTATCATTCATAGATATTGTTAACCTGTACTATGATTCATAGACTACTCTATAATTCAAAGACATTCACAGGCTGCACTATGATTCATAGATATTCATAGAGAGCTCTATGATTCATACGTATTCATAGGTGACTATGATTCATAGACTGCACAAAGATATAATATAAAGTACGATCCGAAGAACTCCTTAAAAATTTAGGAAACATTGATCTCCCCGATAAAATATATTTAAATAATCCGTGATTTATATGCGAATAGTGAACGACTTAAGTGAATCGAAAGAATTATTTTTTACTCGGTATCACCCTTAACAATGTGGTACAGTCACTAATACACAAGGAGTTACAGGGTGTGGAAGAATTAGGAACAGAAACATTAGTAATGAGTAGAAAGAGAAAATATCACACAAGAGGACAATACGTAGCAATTGGCAGTGCATTTAAAATTTTTATAAATGTAAAAGACAATAGGAAAACTGTAATATTAGCCGACGTAATTTTCAGTTGACATTATGAATAAAATAGCGTTTTCTAAATTCTTCCAGTTGCTAAGAACATTTTGTTT